CAATTGTATTATATACGAAAACTATAGTTCAATTGTAATATATACGAAAAACTATAGTTCAATTGTAATATATACGAAAAAACTATACTTCAATTGTAGTATATATGAAAAATTATAATTCAATTATAGTATATACGAAAAACTATAGTTTAATTGTAGTATATACGAAAAACTATACTTCAATTGTAATATATACGAAAAACTATAATTCAATTGTGTTATATACGAAAAACTATACTTCAATTGTAGTATACGAAAAATTATAGTTCAATTTTAGTATATACGAAAAACTATACTTCAATTGTAGTATATACGAAAAACTATAGTTTAATTGTAGTATATACGAAAAATTATAGTTCAATTGTAATATATACAAAAAACTATAGTTTAATTGTAATATATACAAAAAATTATAGTTCAATTACATTATATACGAAAAATTATAGTTCAATTGTAGTATATACGAAAAATTATAGTTCAATTATAGTTCAATACTATATACGAAAAACTATAATTCAATTGTATTATATACGAAAAACTATACTTCAATTATAATATATACGAAAAACTATAGTTTAATTGTAATATATACAAAAAATTATAGTTCAATTACATTATATACGAAAAATTATAGTTCAATTGTAGTATATACGAAAAACTATAGTTCAATTGTAATATATACGAAAAACTATAATTTTTTGAGAAATTTCGAATAGCTCTTTAAAGAAGGAGGGAGTGGAAAAAATAATTCTCGCTGAGAATTGAAAAACAAAAGAGGAAGAAAAGTATATACGGAAAACTATATTTCAATTATAATATAATTTTTTGAGAAATTTCGAATAGCTCTTTAGAGGAGGAGGGAGGGGAAAAAAGAAAGAAAGAAAGTTGCTCTCTGGCATCAGAGAAATCGTATTTCGATCGAATCCCTTTCGTTCGTCCCGATTCAAGGCGACGAGAATGGAGATGGAGTCTCGTCAACCTCTACGTTTTTATTTCGCGTGTCGTTTGTGAAAAAAAAATATATAGACAATTTGGGTGTCAGCGCGGTGTCCGCGAATATCGAGAGAAGAAGAAACGACGAGAAGCGGCACGGTGCGATTCCGGAGGACGGAGGACAAAGTCGAATTCTTGGGGACGTTGAATTATCGAGGAGGGCCCTTTGGGAAATCGCGGATAAGTTCTTTGGAATTCGTGTGCCGGTCCAACGTTGGGGAGAAGGGAGAATAGAGAAGGCATAATCGACGATCATCCTCGAAGCGAGTGATACTCGGTCGGTAAATCGGAAGGCCGGCCGGATAAAAATGGTGGGAAGTCGACGGCGCGAATCAGGAAGGAAAAATCGATTCGTCTCGAGTGGAAACAGTCTGTATATATATATATATATATATGGTACGTGATTTCTCGAGCGTTCGACATGCATAAATTCATAGCGGGATCAACGAGGGTTTAAAGCCCTCGAATTCGCGATATATATCCACGCGTGATTCGAGATCCTGGGCACGACTTGGATCTCGGCCGATATTTAAATTCCAAGATTCCACGCAACATTTCGCACTTTATACAAGCTCTCAGCGACGCGAGAATTGAAAAACTTTCCCCCGTTTCTGTTTTCCTCTCCCTCCTTTTTTAAAGAAGACACCGAGCTATTTAAAATTTCTCAAAGAAGTATACTATTATAATTGAACTATAGTTTTCCATATATACTTTTCTTCTTCTTTTGTTTTTCAATTCTCAGCGAGAATTCGTTTCTTTTTTCTCCTCTGTCTTCCTCTAAAGAAGACATCAAGGCTATTCCAAATTTCTCAAAGAATTATAATTTTTTGTATATACTACAATTGAACTATAGTTTTTCGTATATACTACAATTGAACTATAGTTTTTCGTATATAGTACAATTGAACTATAGTTTTTCATATATATTTTTCTTTTTCATTTGTTTTTGAATTGTTTTTGAAAACGTCCTGCCCTTTCTTTTTTCCTCTCTCTCCTCCTCTAGAGAGCTATTCGAAATTTTTCAAAGAACTATACTACAATTACAACAACTATAGTTTTAATACTTTTCTTTTTCTGTCCTCCCCTTTCCTTTTTTGCTTTCTCTCCTCTTCTAAAGAACTACTTGAAATTTTTCAAAGAATTATTATAAATACAATTGAACTAATTTTAATACTTTTTTTTTTCTGTCCTCCTGTTTCTTTTTTTTTTTTCCTCCTCCTCTCTCTAAAAAGCTACTCGAAATTTCTCAAAGAACCATAGTTTGAATACTATAACAATTGAACTATAGTTTTAATACTTTTCTTTTTCTCCCCTTTCCTTTTTTGCTATCCCTCTTCCTCTAAAGAGCTATTCGAAATTTTTCAAAAAATTATACTACAACCGATAAAAAAAAACTATAATTTTCCGTATATACTTTTCTTCTTCTTTTGTTTTTCACTTCTGAGCGAGAATTGAAAAACGTCCTCTCCTTTCCTTTTTTCTCCTCGCTCTTCCTCTAAAAAGGACACCGAGCTATTCGAAATTTCTCAAAGAACTATAGTTTTTTGTATATACTACATATTGTATATACTATAATTGAATTATAGTTCTTCGTTATTACAATTAATTCTATATTACAATTAAATATATTACAATAATTCTATATTACAATTAAACTATAGTTTTTCATATATATATATATATATATGTTTCTTTTTCTTTTGTTTTTGAATTATTTTTGAAAAACGCCCTCCCCCCATTTCTTTTTTCCCCTCCTTTCTCCTCTAAAAAGGACACCGAGCTATTCGAAATTTCTCAAAAAACTATACAATTGAACTATAGTATATACTTTCCTCTTTCTTTTGTTTTTCAATTCTCAGCGAAAATTGAAAAACGTCCTCCTCTTCCTTTTTTCCTTCTCCTCTAGAAAGCCACTCGAAATTTCTCAAAAAACTATTATAAATACAACTGAACTATACAAAGAACTATATATAAATACAATTGAATTATAGTTTTAATAGTTTTCTTTTTCTGTCGCCTTTCCCCTTTTGCTTTCTCTCCTCTTCTAAAAAACTATTCGAAATTTCTCAAAGAACTATAATTTTTCGTATATATTATAATTGAATTATAGTTTTTCGAATATACTAGAATTAAACTATAGTTTTTCGTATATACTACAATTGAACTATAATTTTTCGTATATACTACAATTGAACTACAGTTTTTCATAAATACTGCAATTGAACTATAGTTTTTCATATATAGTATAATTGAATTATAATTTTTCGTATATACTACAATTGAACTATAATTTTTCGTATATACTACAATTGAATTATAGTTTTTCGTATATACCTTTCTTCCTCTTTTGTTTCTCAATCCTCAGCGAGAATTCTTTTTTCCTCCTCCTCCTCTATCCAAAATTTCTCAAAGAACTATACTATAGTTCTCAAGAACTATACAATCGAGCTATAGTTTTAATACTTTTCTTCTTCTTTCGTTTTTCAATTTTCTCTGTTTTCCAATGACCGATCCTATTTCTCCGCTTCTGTTCGCAGATTACTCGAGACCGAAGGAAGGAAGAAAGAAAGATCGTCGCGATTTACGTGCGAAACGAAAGCACGAAAGACGAGGGACGAGGCAAATCGCGTCATCACGGATCCGAGTCGCGGCCTCTCGCCGCGATATCGACGATGCGTTGAGGACAGAGAAAGAGAGGAACGATGGAGGAGAAACGAGGATCGACGCGAGCTCGTGTCATGGCGCATCGAGAATCCTCGTCCCGGAAATGCCTGCTCTTTCGAACGAAGGCCTGAACTCGCCTTTTCCTCTCTTCTCCGCGACAAGAATGGAGAGAGAGAGGGAGGGGAACCAGAAACTGCCGCGAAGGAACCACGAGGAGGAAAAGTTTGAGTGACTCGCGGAGACACTTTGTTGAAATTCGCTCCGCGTTATTTAAGTTTCCAAGGTGAAGGAGAAGGTGACGCGTGTGCCGCAGAGAACGATCCTCAGATTTAATCGAACGTTTCTTCCTTCGAATGAACGAGGAAGAAATAAAAGAAGAAGGAGGATGGTCGATTCTCGCTGCCCGTAAAAGCAGAATTATGCGTTGCGCAAGATCCTCCGCCACCGCCACGGATTCTTCAATAAGATCGAGTCGGACGTTATTGCACTGGCCGGCCGTAAATATCTCTTAACCGTATGCGTACCTTCAGAGACCAATATCCCTCCCCCCCCTCCACCGAAAAACGGCGGATCGTGCCTCGATAAAGAGCTCCCCCCTCCCTCCAACTAATATCCACGAAAATATCTCCAACGTTCCGTTCCGTTCCGTTCCGTTCCATTCCATTCCGTTCCGTTTCATTCCGTTCCATTCCATTCCATTCCGTTCCGTTTCATTCCGTTTCGTTTCATTCCATTCCGTTCCGTTCCGTTCCGTTCCGTTCCGTTCGATCGAGGGACAGCGTCAGCGGAGAAGAAGAAAAATGAGGATCGGAGAGGCGGTGGTGGCGGCCGACTCTCGCAACCGACCATCCATCCGACGCCTTTCTCCGAAAAAATCTTTCCGCGACGAGCCGTCGCTTTTGGGTTCCTCCCTCCTTGGGCCGTTCACCAATAGATGGAATATATAGAAAGGATACACAAGGAAGAAATATAAAGTCGATTGTTGCCTCGGCGGGGATTCGAATTTCGGAAGAGGAGAGAGCGATGCCGTCGAGGTGGACGATGGACGATCGGGGATCGCGTGGACGATGGCGTAGGAGATCGTGGAGAAATAGCCGCGTTATCCACCACAGATATCGATCGTGATGACGCGATATCGGCCTCGTCTCGACGTGATGTCTCGTCGGTTTACCGATTGAACAGCGGCGGAGAAGAAAAGGGATCGTTATCTGGCCTGCACGTCGGTTCGACAAATGCGAACGAGAGGCGCTGGCAAGGCGGCGTTGGACAAACGAGAGCGGAAGGAGGAGAGAGTCGAGGGGTGATCGAAGGGAAGGGAAGGGAAAAAGGGAGGAGGAGGGAGGATGGAGAAGGAAAGGGGACATTACAGGGCTTACGAGGGCTTCAAGCCCGCGAACAACGGCAATACGTCGTCGTTGAAGAGGTCTGCGACGGCGACGGTGGACCGCTCGAAAACGCACCCGTCGAGGCAAGTGAGGTGCCTTTGCTTCGGCGGGGTGCCGGACAAGGCGAGCCACCACTCGTTTCTCAAGGGCTGCGTTATAAACCTCGGCATATGCGCCCTCCTCGTGGCCTACACCCTGCTGGGCAGCTTCATCTTCCTTGCCATCGAGGGCGGCACGGACGACGCCGGGATCCCGCCACAGCAGAGGACGCTGGCCGCCACAATGGCGGGGAATCAGGCCGGTGGCAGGCGGAATACCACAGCTTGGTTGAAACAGGTGAGCGTGAAACGACTCTCGGCCGGAGAGTCCATCCATCTCCGTCCACCACCATTTCTCTCTCTCTCTCTCTCTCTCTTTTTTTCCATTTTTTATCGTCCCATTTTTACCACGATTCGCGTAGTTTCAATATTTGTCGCGCGCTACGTAACAGTTCGCCCCGTTACGAGAGTGGACGTTGCGCTTTTTTTTTTTTTCTCTCTCTCTCTCTCTCTCCACCCGATATTTGACGAATTAAAACTCGAAATGAATCTCATTCGTTCGAAACTTTTTTCCCCTCTCTTCGCGATTTTTTTCTCTTTCGGTTAATTTTCATACGAATATTTTTTTTTTTTTTCCCTTCTCGTCGAGTTATCCATATCTAGCGTGTAAATATGCGTATTCGACCAGAAATACGAGAGATATGAAGATTGTTATCGTTGAGAATCTTAACGCGGGATTAACTTTAAATCCGTAAGGAATAAAATTTCGTGGAGAGGGTGTGAAATTTTATTGGTTACGAAAGGAATCGGTTCAAACCACCTCTGTTCCGAGTAATCGTATCTCGGATTCTTTATCGATAATCGTTTAACCGGAACGATAACGGTGCGAGCGAATCTCGCGATTTATCATCGCACTCTTAGAATTCGATCCCTCCATCGGTCAATCGAATTATCTCGAAAAAGGTTTTTATCGATTGAAAACCAATTTCTTCCCTTCTTTTTAAACCGATATTCGTTTGAGAGAGAGAGAGAGAGAGAGAGAG